TCGTATCCCCCCCCCCCCCCCCCAAAATGCTATGGCATTGTTCATGGAACTTTTGCAAAGTTTAAAGAATATTATTCATGATGATTCAACAATGATTATCACCACCTGTTTTGACGTATTAGCATTCGTCCCCATAAACTAGTCCCACAATAATAAATTGATCTGTCTAAACAGGTCTTAAATTCATACTAAAATTTACTTTTTTCTCTAATCACAAAATAGTGTAATAGTTCTTCCTTAATGATTAAATATATATAACAGCTCTGCGCTCAACTCTGCAGATAGCTTGATTGTAAAACTTTATATGTCCCACAGAGCAGGGTCATGAAACTGTGCTCTCACCTTGAATTTTCCTCCTGCCTGATTCTGTCATACAGCTATGGCTGAGAGATTGATAGCCTATTGCTTTATGCCTTCAGCTTATAAGAGCCTTACTCAGTCATCTTACGTAACAATAGAGCTATGCTCAGCTATTGTGTGCAAAAGGGCAGTAATAGTAGAGTTTCATGGAAAAATCGATACATCCCTCATTTATGATAGCAGCAAAACTGTGACTTGAGTAAAATAAACCGATCTAAATTCAGTTGGCACACTGGAGTGAAGTTAAATTCATATTTGAAAACCCCAATAACCTTCTAGAATTCTTTACAAACATTAGTTAATCAATCAGTTGATTTTCTTTATTTCAGGTTCCAGTTCATAGAATAGGGCATTTATTTCACAGTAACCCACAAACTGATGACTATCAATTGCACTGATCAATGATTCTACCTATATGTAGACTGTGGAGGACTAGCGTTATGCCTTCAGCTCATAAGAGCCTTACTCAGTCATCTTACGTAACAATAGAGCTATGCTCAGCTATTGTGTGCAAAAGGGCAGTAATAGTAGAGTTTCATGGAAAAATCGACACATCCCTCATTTATGATAGCAGCAAAACTGTGACTTGAGTAAAATAAACCAATCTAAATTCAGATGGCACACTGGAGTGAAGTTAAATTCATATTTGAAAACCCCAATAACCTTCTAGAATTCTTTACAAACATTAGTTAATCAATCAGTTGATTTTCTTTATTTCAGGTTCCAGTTCATAGAATAGGGCATTTATTTCACAGTAACCCACAAACTGATGACTATCAATTGCACTGATCAATGATTCTACCTATATGTAGACTGTGGAGGACTAGCAGTTACAATAAAAAAAAAAAAAATTAAAGCATAATCTGTATAAATAAAAATGTAAATAACTTTTCAAACTGGCAAATTAATAGGTATTTAAAAATTAAAATAAAATAAAAATAAATCAATGTTTAAAATGTTGCTAAATGTAACAAATTATATTTGATATTTATATTTTTTAATTGATTGCAAAAATTGCAAATTGCTTTTCTTTATTTATTTTCCAATTGCTTATCTTTATACTTATACTAAATCAATTTTATTTTACTGTTACATTTGACTCATTTGAAACTTTTTAAAATGTATTTGTCTTTTTGAAAGTTATTTTTAAAGTGACACTCCCAGACCTCCATTGTAAAACACTACAACTAAGTTTATACTCAAAAATATCCTAGAAAAGGCTCATAGGATCATTAGCTGCTGACGAAGAGATTCGTTTTTTTCAGAGTAAAGGCCTATTATTACTCGGTGTAGTGCAATAAAACTTTGTGTTCGTTCTATAAAAGTAGTACTAGATACCCTGCTGGAAAACAAACAGCTAGACATAGCTGATCTATCTCGTCTCCTAGCCTGGCCAAGCTTGTACACAGCCAAGTTTAAGTGCTCAAAACCCCTCTAAAACCAGCAAAACATACCAGCCTGACCAGACTAGGAGACCAGCTAAGACAAGCAAAACCGTTTAGAAAAAAGGCTTTATTTTACTGTTACATTTGACTCATTTGAAACTTTTTAAAATGTATTTGTCTTTTTGAAAGTTATTTTTAAAGTGACACTCCCAGACCTCCATTGTAAAACACTACAACTAAGTTTATACTCAAACATATCCTAGAAAAGGCTCATAGGATCATTAGCTGCTGACGAAGAGATTCGGTTTTTTTCAGAGTAAAGGCCTATTATTACTCGGTGTAGTGCAATAAAACTTTGTGTTCATTCTATAAAAGTAGTACTAGATACCCTGCTGGAAAACAAACAGCTAGACATAGCTGATCTATCTCGTCTCCTAGCCTGGCCAAGCTTGTACACAGCCAAGTTTAAGTGCTCAAAACCCCTCTAAAACCAGCAAAACATACCAGCCTGACCAGACTAGGAGACCAGCTAAGACAAGCAAAACCGTTTAGAAAAAAGGCTTGATGCTTCGTACTTCACCTGTGGTGTGCTCGGAGATTGTGATGTTTTAGACTCCAAAATGTGTGTATTTGCTCCAGCAATAGTGAAAAATAAATGTGAATTAAGATTGAGTGCATAACCATATGAGGTAAGCAACTCCAGATGTTGAATCCAACATCAGTCCTAATTTAAAATCTCTACTTTTGAGTGACTAGCCTCCCCTTTCTACATTTGTGATACCTTTGTGCTTCTCCTCTCACTCTTCAACACCCTTTGTTACCCCATTTGGTCTAGTTGTTACCCACTCAGCCCCGACTAAAAACTGACTATCTTTTGGTTACACCTCCAAACAGGAAAGAAGAACTCTCTCCTGCTCCAGAAATTCCAGAAGGATCTGAACGCTGGCGTCTTCAACACTCAGGAGAACGAGCTGCTGAAGCAGATCATCCGGCAGGACCGAGAGATGGTGATGATGGTGGATCGGAAGCAATCGATCACGGGGATGAACTCCACGCCGATGTCTGGAAACTCCATCATTAACTCTCCCGCCCAGCCACCGTTCAGTACAGCAACTGCCATTCTTGGGATCAACCAATTACAGCAGCAGACCGCCCCACTAAGCTACAGCACCTCCGCTACTATAACCCCGTCAGGCCGTGTGCCGCCCTCACAGGGCGTCACGTTTTCGGCACCGAGTGTTTCTCACGGCAACTTGAGCACCTCTTCCCCAAACCCCACTATGCCCTTGCAGCAGCCAGCAGGGGCGATTATGTCTCCTTGTTCGTTCACCACATCCATTTGCAGTCCCCCAGTGCAAACCCCTATGGCCAGCCGAACATTCCAGTACGGATCGCCGACGGCCTCCCAACTGTCCCTTGTACAGCAACCCTTACCCCAGCAGCCCTCGCCTGCCTCCATACCACAACAACCGCCGCAACAACAGCCACAGCAATCGCAAGCGGCGTCTCCTCAGAGGAGCGATGTCCACAAAAGCGCACAGGCACTCCAGTCAGGTAGCCTGAGCAAGGACTTACGCCACCTCTCTGCCTCGCAGCCGTCATTGCCCCATGAAACCTCATTGGCTGCCCGGGCACATCCCATATCAGGCGAATCACTCGCTTCCATTCAGCCGCCCATTGGATCAGTGGCAGGCGTCCAGGCCCCAGGCTCCGTCCTGCAAAGCGGCATCCGCACCAACGTTCCACAGAGGGTCGCCCTTTTCCGGCAGATGTCATCGGGCGCATTACCACCGGTGCGCACGGCGCCCTCTAGCGCTCAGCACAGGGATTCCACGGGCTCCAGGAGAGAGTCGGCAGTCTTAAGCAGTACAGAGACGGAACAAGACAAGATGCGGTTCGCATCGAATTTATGATCCCATTTTACTTTTTTTCCATGTTCATTTTTTTAAAAGATATTTTTACGGAGAGACTAAAAAAATGGGGAAAAGACTTGTATTTTTTTCCCTCCAACTTCCTCTGAGAAAAAATAACAACCTCATAGCTATCCTGTACAGAATTTCCTTATACTATATTTTAGACACATTTCCCCTTCAACATAAGAATGTATATTATACAAACATATATGTGCAAATCCAACTAGAATATTTGGCATTGACCATGAGAAAAGAAAAAAAAACTCTAGTATAAACACAAGTCTTCCTCTCTAACATATGTGACTATAATGTGTCTGAAGATGTTCTTTTCTGTTGATGTTTTCCTTACAGTTTGGATTTTTCATTATTGTTTTTGTTAATGGAATGCTTTTGAATGCGTTTTATTTACCATTTTTGTTCTCGACGAGGTGGTGACAAAACAAGTCCAGCATTCAGCAGCTTTTGGCATCACTGTGGAAAATGTTTGCGCAAATCGAACCTGGGAATTACTGAAATGTTTAAAAAGCACATCTCAAACTTTTAGCAGCTGGAAAAAATATATATATTATCAGAAAATGCTCAGAGCATCAAATCAAGGTGCAGTTTCGATCTCTGCAATACTTTGTGTTGTGCAGTAATTGCGTTGTGTTTCAAGGCAGCATTTGTGCATTAAAGGGAATGTATTTTTTCTGTTTTTTTATTTTAATTTAGTTTATTTTTACAAAGGATGTGTAGTCAAATTGGATGGTTTTATTTTCTGTTTAAATCAGATACAGAAAATAAAACCATCCAATTTGACTACAATGATTTAAGAACGAGACGGACATTATGAAATGTCACTTAACGACTGTACATTTACAATATTTATAAAACTAAAGATTATCACCATTATGCAATAGACTGTGATATAAAGATTACCTATATGTGTGTTGTACATAGTTTTGTAGAACTAGTATTTACAAAAGTAATGTGTGGTGCATTTCTCAAACATGGCAATGTCTTATCTCTGTCAGCCACCTGGGTAATGCCTATATATGCGCATATATATATATATGCACATATATATGTATATACACAAATGGTAATAACATTCATTAGAGATAAGAAAACCTTAATGCAAATAATAGCATTACACAGTAGGTAGTACTAAAGACAATATCTGTATTCAAAAATATCATGCTGGTCAAATATAAAGGTATATGAGTGATTACAGTGGCACGACACCACTGCAGTGGGGGGGGGGGGGGGGGGGAGGAGATTATGCATCTTCATCATCATCATCAGTAAAGCTTAATGCATTTAGCCTACTTTACATCATCATTTATGTTTTACAATCCCTAAATGGAAATCAAATGATTTGATCATTTCCTGCACTGATGTAACACAAGGAAGCCATTGGCTGTCTGCATACATCGATAAAAGCTTTGTTATAATAGTTTCATATTAATAGTGTTTTTCTCATAGATCAGTATTAATGGATGTACGCACTACTCCAACTTCATAATAGTACATAGACGTAGATGTTCTCGTTATGCTTTTTCTTTTATTATCGCATTTAAAGACTGTGAAAAACATTCAAACTTAACACATGTATGTATTTATTTACTAATGCTCTAATAGTTTTACAAAAACACATCAACCTTTAAGTCTAAGTTATTAAACATAAAATTCCATAAACTGGCGGCACAGTTGACAACACAATTATAAAAGTGGCCAGCAGAACTATTCTGTGTGTTTTCAAGTGCAACTATGTGAATCCAACAAAGGACAGATTAACAAATATAGACGTTCAAAGAGAGAAAAACAGAAGCTGCTTTGCATTGAGGTTTTTATATCTCCCGTATGTTGATTCATCCAGTTTGGGGCTTAAGACTTAGCATTTAACTAGGGGTAACTAGCAGCTGTGACCCCATCTATTTTTAATTTATTCATTCAATATTGCGACTAAAAGTCAGCAGAACAAAGCAAAAACTCATCTGACCTGTGCAAAGTCTCTAAGTCCCCTTGCACAATGTTTAAAAGATGACATTACTACAAAAAAAAACACTTGTGTCAGTACCGTAACCAGTGCAAATCCCATACAGCGACCATAATTGTCACGAATACTTAAAAGAGAAACTATTTAAAAAGCGTTGACGTTTAAATGTATTGTGAGATTATGTTTTTTTGTTCATTGTCTGCTTAGACGTTCTCTGTGCATATCAGAAATATTGAATTTTCATGAAGAGGACATTCTTAAGTATTTGTGCCTAAACTATAGCCATGTTTCATCCTGTTCATTTTATGAGTGTGACTCATGTGTGAGCGCGCATTCGCGCACACGTGTATGTAAACAAGTGTATAAGTGTATGTTCAATGTTTTCCGACGAGAACAAAAAGCAATGGGCCAAACGTATCGGAGCAAAAGGATGACATTTGCTCGGCGGGTGCGATTAACATACTAGTGAAAATACCAAGTATATCTGTTCGCAAACAAATCAGTATCGGCCGGAATCACGATAGATCATTGGTTAAATGTGTGTGGAACTTAACTTTATAGCTACTGATGTTCGGTTTGATGTTGTGTGGAATGAAACTGGCCAAAGTGAAACATTTCAAAACAAACTTTCATTGTGATTTGCGCTTTCTGTTTAAAGAGAGAGAGGAACCTAGAAGCAGAAACTCATACATTAGTTGGTTAACTAAAGGGGTTGCTACATCATCCAGAATCGCATCCTCTGCTCCTGGCCGACGGGACGACCTTTGTGTTCAAACACATCAAAAAGCGCTTAACTCCTGCTATGCCATAGTGTATAGAAACTAGTGTACAGATAGGACGGTCAGCCGTATTCTAGGTATCTGCTATTTTTTGATACTGTACAGTACTTGCCTTCGAAGGAGAACCCTTCCCGTGTTAATGTGCTTTTTCCTCTCAGCTTTAAACACTGTTAGAATTCCGGATTGGGAAGGAGAGGCGTTCATACAATACACTAAAAAAAAAAACTTTCTGAGGAGGCGTTTAAGAAAACCAGCACATATCTCCGTATGTTTGTTTGTTTTTTATTTGTTTTTAATCATACATGTGTTTATGTGATGGGAAATGAACAATGCAAAAGAAAAAGGAGTGATGTTTAAATAAAGGGAAAAACCAAAACGGTTGGTTTGCAGCCTCCATGATTCAGGTGAAATCATTCTGTTTGATATGTTCAATGACGTGATGCAAATAATGGAAGATTCTAGAACAGGCCTCAAGCTCTTTTTAATCTCAGCTATATATATTTTTTTTCATTATGCTTGTTCATGTACACCAATGCTTGGTTTAAAAAAATACAAAAATAATAAAAAAAATGGGGAAAAGAATCATTCAATAAATATACATGAACAATTAGTTACTTGATCCTGAATAAAGAAAGGTAAATGTATACTTTCTTACACCTATATGCAGACAAACGGTGTTTGTCAAAAAATCATTATTTTTTTGTTTTATTTTGTTTCTTTGTAAATAATAAACCTTTAAAATATAGAGAAAAAATAAATAAAAGAACTATTGCCATTTACCACCAAGCTTCAGTGTGTTTTTGTGATGAGTTGCAATTTAATCTTTGACTTTTGCTTTCATTTTATTAAATTTACCATCTACAGACATGAATGATAACTCAAACTGCATGACTTGTTGAAGTGTGCAATTACGTTTTGCAGTTATGAATGTGTTCAAATGTAAATTTCGCCCTCGTGAAAAAAAAAAAACTATGGCAAATACTCTTTGCTAAAATCTCAGGCATTGTTACGAAAGTTTGCGCTGTTATTATGATACCAATGTGGACATGCATTCTTAAAAATAAAGTTTCCAAAAAGGAATTTGCGCAGCAACGTCACAGAAGAAACATTTTTGGTTCCCCAAAGAACAGTTCTTAAAAGCACCATTTTTTTCTTAGTGTGAAGACCATTTTAATAATCTGAAGAACCTTTCGCCTTTAAATAACCTGTCTAATGGAAAGGTTGCATGTTAAAGGTTCTTCATGGAACCATCAATGCCGATAAAACTTTATTTTTTAACCGTGTGCTTGAAAAAGCACCAGTTCACTTCTACAGTGGGATTTTCAACAGCCTTGCAAACACCCAGAACCCCCTAGCAGCATACAAAGTCACTCAGAACCACATTGCAGTGCTTTGGAAACACTTTTTAAATTCAGACATTGTTATTAGATGTTCATCACTGAATCAATCATATTTTTGCTGGTTTACACAAACAACTAACAACAACAATAGAAATCCATCCACTCTCTGTGAACACAAAATAGGCCAGTCTCTAAAACCAAGCTCTTCACAGCCAAAAGTAAAAGGAAAGATTGATCTTACCAAATCCTTTTGTTCCCTTGTTCTAGAACCCTCCATGTTGTGTCCAAAAGCTGAATCCATACATGATTTTTCCACATATAACGACTGTAAATTTCAGGTCGCACAACCTGTAGAAAGTAGAAAGGTCACAACCATTTAGTCTGTCTGGAAAACCAGAGTAAATGTATAATTTAGGCTGGAATACAGGCCCAAAACAACACCTGCAAGGAGGAAATACAGGTGGAAGAAGGCCTAGAAACCAACTTAAAAGTCCCCTTCACTTCCCGTAGTGTCCAGAATCTTTATGTAACTGAAATTAAAAATAAATGTCGTAATGAAACTGTCTGAATGTGTTGCAGAAATATAGATGAACTCTTTACCAGTTTCTTGGTGTTAAGGTCATCTTGCTTCAGCCTTTCTCCTCTTTCTGACAGTACAGAGATAAAAAAATTTAAAAAACGTGTGGGACACAGTGACAGTGAGAGAATGAAATATACATTTGGAGAAAGGAACAGAGAGGGAATGTCAGTGACTCCTGTGGTGAAATAAAAACTGATTTCTTTGGGATGGTCAGGATTTCCATTCATTACCCTCGGATGCAGTTATTAGTCATGAAGTATTCATACATTGAGACAGAACCCTCTCACGGTTGGTGCTGATTAACAGGACACCACCAAATCCTTTTGTTCCCTTGATCTAGAACCCTCCATGTTGTGTCCAAAAGCTGAATCCATACATGATTTTTCCACATATAACGACTGTAAATTTCAGGTCACACAACCTGTAGAAAGTAGAAAGGTCACAACCATTTTGTCTGTCTGGAAAAACAGAGTAAATGTATAATTTAGGCTGGAATACAGGCCCAAAACAACACCTGCAAGGAGGAAATACAGGTGGAAGAAGGCCTAGAAACCAACTTAAAAGTCCCCTTCACTTCCCGTAGTGTCCAGAATCTTTATGTAACTGAAATTAAAAATAAATGTCGTAATGAAACTGTCTGAATGTGTTGCAGAAATATAGATGAACTCTTTACCAGTTTCTTGGTGTTAAGGTCATCTTGCTTCAGCCTTTCTCCTCTTTCTGACAGTACAGAGATAAAAAAATTTAAAAAACGTGTGGGACACAGTGACAGTGAGAGAATGAAATATACATTTGGAGAAAGGAACAGAGAGGGAATGTCAGTGACTCCTGTGCTGAAATAAAAACTGATTTCTTTGGGATGGTCAGGATTTCCATTCATTACCCTCGGATGCAGTTATTAGTCATGAAGTATTCATACATTGAGACAGAACCCTCTCACGGTTGGTGCTGATTAACAGGACACCTTACACACACTTTGGATTCATAATTCACACTCCACAATAGGGATTATTAGACTTCTGCATGCCTAATAAGTCAGAGATATAATGAAACATTTGCATCTCTTCATATGTAAATCCACATAAATCCAAAACTAGGATATTAATCAGGATTTCATAATACCCTTACCCTATTTTACCCTATAAATATGAAAACACATTATAAAAATAAAATTTTTAAGATTTTTGATTATATAAAATGATATTAATTGATGATTTTTATCAAGGGTGAACCAATCATAAACCAATTTAATATTTGTGGGTATTTTTTTTTTTTTTTTACTTTCATATAACGACTGTAAATTTCAGGTCACACAACCTGTAGAAAGTAGAAAGGTCACAACCATTTTGTCTGTCTGGAAAAACAGAGTAAATGTATAATTTAGGCTGGAATACAGGCCCAAAACAACACCTGCAAGGAGGAAATACAGGTGGAAGAAGGCCTAGAAACCAACTTAAAAGTCCCCTTCACTTCCCGTAGTGTCCAGAATCTTTATGTAACTGAAATTAAAAATAAATGTCGTAATGAAACTGTCTGAATGTGTTGCAGAAATATAGATGAACTCTTTACCAGTTTCTTAGTGTTAAGGTCATCTTGCTTCAGCCTTTCTCCTCTTTCTGACAGTACAGAGATAAAAAAATTTAAAAAACGTGTGGGACACAGTGACAGTGAGAGAATGAAATATACATTTGGAGAAAGGAACAGAGAGGGAATGTCAGTGACTCCTGTGCTGAAATAAAAACTGATTTCTTTGGGATGGTCAGGATTTCCATTCATTACCCTCGGATGCAGTTATTAGTCATGAAGTATTCATACATTGAGACAGAACCCTCTCACGGTTGGTGCTGATTAACAGGACACCTTACACACACTTTGGATTCATAATTCACACTCCACAATAGGGATTATTAGATGGCAGAAAACTAGCCGAGGCGGCAGACTTTATAAGCCAAATCCATCCAGAATGGCTCTTAATTGAATTCATGCAAAGCAGAATACAGATGAATCCATTAAAGAGGACCGTGACATGAGCAGGATAATTCACACACATACTGTACACAAAAAAAAGAAACTTGACTTGCATTTACATCCAGTTTTTTAAATGTAACAAAAAAATCCAACATCCATCTACAACATTTCAATAAACAATGTATAAATACAATTTATTTGTGTTAACGTTTTAAGAAAGGTATTAAAGACCAGATGGCTTTGAATGGATGTTCTATTAACATCGTTCTATTACTGGAAGACAGTTTTGTTCATAGCTTTGAGAGAATCTTGCCAGAACATCAGCTAAACGGCAGAAAACTAGCCGAGGCGGCAGACTTTATAAGCCAAATCCATCCAGAATGGCTCTTAATTGAATTCATGCAAAGCAGAATACAGATGAATCCATTAAAGAGGACCGTGACATGGAGATGAGCAGGATAATTCACACACATACTGTACACAGGTTAAAGTTCAGAAAAGAAACTTGACTTGCATTTACATCCAGTTTTTTAAATCCAACATCCAACATCCATCTACAACATTTCAATAAACAATGTATAAATACAATTTATTTGTGTTAACGTTTTAAGAAAGGTATTAAAGACCAGATGGCTTTGAATGGATGTTCTATTAACATCGTTCTATTACTGGAAGACCGTTTTGTTCATAGCTTTGAGAGAATCTTGCCAGAACATCAGCTAAAGTTCTGAGAATGTTTCCTGTTAGCTGGAACGAGACAGATGCAAAAATTGCATAAATGTAAAAGTCTTTTCCTCATTAGTGTATTGCGTCAATGCATCAATTTTCTGTCAATGTAGGAGATAAGAAAGTCATGGGGTGAATTCAGGTTGATTGATTGCTATTGAAATGACTGGAGAAAAATGTCTTAATCATCCTGAATTAACCCCTACAGGTTTGGAACAACATGAGGGTGATTAAATGATGACAGAATTTTCAATATTGGGTTAACTATCCTAAATTACCAGTGCACATATCATAATACAACTTCTGTTTAATCTATTATTAAACTGACTTTATGCTGATGGCAAATCCTTATTTGAAACATTATTCTCATCCGTTCAGGCAACCCAACCTTGTAAATGTCAGCAAAAACAGCAGGGTTTCACATTACAATAGTTCAGCTAGAATTTCTATCAGTTGCAAATGTCAATTCAGCATTTTTTTTTTAAATTCCAAAAGTAATTTAAGAAGCCAAGCTGTGGGTTTGGAAAAGGTCAAAAGAACAGGGCAAATTTTCATAAGTATATACCAAGTCAGTTATGAAACAATGTTTATGTTTTCATATTAGTATAGCCTACACATATATAAGTCTATATATAACATATATTTCTTTTTCTGTATGTAAAAACCTTAATTATTTCACAATATACAGTGTGTGTGTGTGTGTGTGTGCGCGTTTTTGTGACAAATGAGGACATACATTTGTATAATGACAAAGGTATGACAGGTATTACAAGGAGAATGTGACTTTTCAGGACATTACCCCATGTCCCCACTTTTCAAAACACTTATAAATCTGAAATAGCTTTTTGAAAATCTGAAATAGCACAAAGTTTCCTGTGAGAGGTAGGTTTAGGGGTAGGGTTGGTGTAGGGCAATAGAATATACGGTCTGTACAGTATAAAAACCATTACGCCTATGGAGAGTCCCCACTTTTCACAAAAACAAACCTGTGTGTGTGTGTGTGTGTGTGTGTTCTATAGTTTCTTACCATCACTTACTTTTTGTTTCACTCACAATATGTTTCACTCAAAAACTCGTCACATTAATAAAGTAAAAAGGGTTGCGAAAGTTTCTTTGTGTGTGTGTGTGTGTGTTCTAAAGTTGCTTTTCCTCTTAAGCTTAAACTCCCACCCAAAACCCAAAATTGCAATCACTTACTTTTTGTTTCACTCACAATATGTTTCACTCAAAAAAAGCGTCACATTAATGAAGTAAAAAGGGTTGCGAAAGTTTCACACAGATAGATTTATTATCTTCAGAATATGAATATTTATAGGAATGCTAAAGCATCTCATCAGAATTTGTGTCAACGTAACTGACCGCTGGCAGAAAGTGAATTATCATGAGCCCCCCTCAGCACAGATAAACATGAGCTCTTGATTTATTGGTTTCCCGCGCAGCTGAAGGTTACCTTTGGGTAATGGAGGATGCCGCCGCTCAGTAATCTTCTGTGACTTCTGTAATTGCATTATTTCATAATGGCTGTGTATCTTAGGTGGCATTGATAACGGGAGTAAATAAAAAAAAAAGATTCATATCTCTAGGTGGATTTGTGCTGTATGGATTTATTATTTGATTGCGCATACATCGAAATTTCATTACGGCTCTGTCAAGATCTTGAGATCAATTTATGCGGCTTCCTTCAGCCAATCATGTTATTAAAGTTTATCGAACTGGCAGAGGTTGTTGAGGCAATTGTTTGAGGTTAAAACGTTAAGTATGATACTATATGAAACAACAATTGTTCCTAGATATAAAAAAAACAAAAAAAACACCCCCACTTCCATTTAATTTTATTGGAATTTTCTAATGGAATTCCATTTTATATACCTTCACAGTAATCAGAGACAAGTGTCATGGACTCATTGTGGTAAAGATGCACATTTGAGAGAATAAAGCTTAGTTGTCCTACAAGCAACTTTATTTGTATACATTTTGCGTAAAATAAAGAACATATATTACACATATATGTGACCCTGGAGCACAAAAGCAGTCTTAAGTCGCTTGGGTATATTTGTAGCAATAGTCAAAAAAACATTGTATGGGTCAAAATTATAGATTTTTCTTTTATGCCAAAAATCATTAACAGAACATCAGACATTTTCTAGAAGCGTCTTCAAAAAGCAAAGGCTGTTCTGATCTCCCAGCTTTCTCTCATATGCATGCTTTTATTTCTGTGTTGCTCTCTGTGAGGCATACTGGCTCTCTTAATTAGCTGGAAAGATTTCTGTGATCATTGCCTTTATATGTCAGACTCATTAGCTTCTTCCTGGAGATTTGTTCTGCTTATGAAACGCATGGTTACACTTTTCATATCTCTGTATTTTACTGAGAAACAGAGCCATGAAACAAAATTAGCCGAGTGATATCAGCCTTCAGTTCCTAATGATTCATGATCCAAGGATTGCCAGGTGGCTTGTTCGATTTGAATTGCAGTGTTTACATCACTGTGGCACTTACGTTTCTATAGCCATGCTTTCTAAGACTGGAATCACTAAGTATGTTTCCATCTAAGTTGTAAATTTAATTAAAGCCAAAAATGGGAATATTATGGTCATAATGCCATGTTGGACACAAATTTGTCTTGATCTCCCCTGCCTGCATCAAATGCTGTGATTAACTGTAAAATTGAGCATTATTGTAGGTTATTTATTTATTCATTTAATTAATTAATTACAAATTATTTTACTTTCGCTTTTTGTTGTTTTGCGATTCAATATGAAAATACTATTATATTTATTGTTAACAAAAAAAAAAAAGGAATATCATAAAAACTATTTGTGTCACTCCTGATGGAAACTCCCAGCTAACAGGGAACGTTCTCTAGTTAATGCTCTGGTAAGATTCTCTCAAAGTAATTATAGTAAATAATAATGTTCTTAATGAGTCAGCACAAATTTTTTTTATTTATACATCATTCATGGAACCTTGAATTCTGAAACATTTTATTTGAGTTGGATAACATTTAGAAATATATGGGAATGTTGGCAAAATAGATCAAAATAGAAAATAAGAATAGATAGTTCTTAGAATAGATTTTTGTTAGCTGGGCTGACGCAAAATAAAAATCGAAATGACTGAGTACGTCACTGCAGCTCTTTAATGAATCTATTTTTAAAAGATTAATTCAAAAATATTAAATCAGTAAAAAAATTTATTATTATTATTTCCATGTCTTTATGTGAACTTAGGACACTTTCTAAAAGCTACAGGTCTTATTTGAATGCCATTCAGCCAATAGGAAGGGTATTTATTGATTGTGCCTCATTTTCTGCAATTTGCTCCAATAGATGTGCAAAAGCTCAACCTCCTCTACCACTCGGAAATCTCTGACACAAGGTTACTCCACAATTAAGAGGTCACGTGGATCCATTTCCAGATCTCCAAATGGATTCCTCAATTTTTCAGCTCTGTGATTTGTAGTTCTATTGTTGCTAAACCGGATTTTCTGTAAACAAAAGAACATGCCTGTCCCCAGAGCGCGGTGCAGTGCTCCTTATCCATATCATCCTTTTCTCACTTCACCAAATTCAGCTTTTCCTGGAATGTATCTCGCAATTCTCTGTGGAGTCATTGTACAGTCCCAGAGACCTGGAGCAAACGTCTTCTATTATTAAAAGTTCGGACCAAAGGCACTTCAAAGCAGCACAATAAAGCCCAAGAAATCTGCTCTGTCTCCTGAGGTTTAAAGATTAGAAACGCAACTCAACAAAATCAAAGCCGGCAAAACAAATAGCTTGTTCTCCGAAAAAGAATTACCACTGAAGACTATTAGGAGCTAAAATACAAACCCAATTCCAAAAAAGTTGGGACACTGTACAAATTGTGAGTAAAAAAGGAATGGAATAATTTAGAAATCTCATAAACTTATATTTTATTCACAATAGAATATAGATAACATATCAAATGTTGAAAGTGAGACATTTTGAAATGTCATGCCAAATATTGGCTCATTTTGGATTTCATGAGAGCTACACATTCCAAAAAAGTTGGGACAGGTAGCAATAAGAGGCCGGAAAACATAAATGTACATATAAGGAACAGCTGGAGGACCAATTTGCAACTTATTAGGTCAATTGGCAACATGATTGGGTATAAAAAGAGCCTCTCAGAGTGGCAGTGTCTCTCAGAAGTCAAGATGGGCAGAGGATCACCAATTCCCCCAATGCTGCGCAAAAAATAGTGGAGCAATATCAGAAAGGAGTTTCTCAGAGAAAAATTGCAAAGAGTTTGAAGTTATCATCATCTACAGTGCATAATATCATCCAAAGATTCAGAGAATCTGGAACAATCTCTGTACGTAAGGGTCAAGGCCGGAAAACCATACCGGATGCCCGTGATCTTCGGGCCCTTAGACGACACTGCATCACATACAGGAATGCTACTGTAATGGAAATCACAACATGGGCTCAGGAATACATCCAGAAAACATTGTCGGTGAACACAACCCGGGGCGGGACTACCTATAAAAAGCTGGACATTGACTATACATGCAAATGGTGCGGAACAGGTACTAGAAAAGTTTAGGAAATGTCTTTTGGGAATAGAAATTTCAAACTTTTTCAGATTATACTACAATTAATGATTTGTTGTAGTCTACCAATGATAAACTGTCCTACAAAGAGTGTATGGGGGAGTGTATAATTTTGCTAAATTTAAAACATTAAACCATCAAGCTTTTACTTTTGTGGAAAACCACAGGAAGCACTGGTTTATAAGCACTTCTTAATAAGAGGATAACTGGTGCATGTTCTCTGCCCAAATGCACACGTCAAGGAACCCAAACTGAGCACATGCAGAGTTTATTTGGAACAGAATTTACTGCGAACCTAGCCTCTCCAAGACACTGAAAACACCAAATCATAAGCTGCTCATGTGCAAAACTACACAGTGCTGTGCTTCACTCTGAAACACGAACCCCATATATTTATTGAATTAAATTGCAACCTTTATTATTTGATAATCGCACTAAGCCATATTGCGATTTTGTTTGCTGTTTTGATTAATTATTGAACCCTAATTCAAAGTAAGGTATACACATACAATGCTTTCAAAACATACTAATTTTCAGCTTGGGTGAAATGATGTCATCGTCATCCGGCGGAGGTCCAAGTTCCCTTCGTTTTTCTCTTAATACCTTCTCCAGAACGTTGGCGTCATTGTAAACCTAGAGTCAAACCAACAAGCTAGTCATGAAACAACAGAGCAGCTAGTATTTATAAAACCTAGGACAACAAAAATGAGCTCAAAAAGCTAATTTACTCTATACCAGTGATGGGCAAACTTGGCCCTTCCAGGCCACTTTTCTGCAGAGATTTGATCCAACCCTGATATGACTCACCTGCCTGTAGCCTTCTAGTAGTCTTGAAGACAATGATTAGCTGGTTCAGGTGTGTTTGATTAGGGTTGGAGCTAACCTCTGAAGGAAAGTGGCCTGGAAGGGCCAAGTTTGCCCACACCTGCCCTATACAGTCTTTCCAATCTTAGTGGTAACCTTCAAACTCACTTGTGAACCTTCTTCATTGTAGTGACGTGCATTACGGAACATCAGCTTCATGTCCTCCATCATGGCGTCCTCGCTGGGGTATCTGTCAGAGCGGATGTTGTGGTCGATGGTCCTCAGGTCCACTGGCTCCAGTATAATCTTGTAGTAGTCCGGGTAGTCTTTTTTTGAGGGCTTGACCATAAATAGGTCACAGAGTCTCCGGCCTGTGCCCATCTCCCGAGCCTCTGCCACAGCAGCGTACAGAGCCTTCATGCGGTTCTTCTTTGTGTTCTTCTTATAGCTGCCAGATTTGATACGTTAGGACCAAAAGCAACTGTCACCTTCGCATAGCGTGAAAGTTTTAAGACTATAACAAGCTCCTAACATATAAGTATTTTACTAATGCTGTGAATGTACCTTTTGCGCTTGGTGCTGCCCCCATCAGAAAGAGTAGATGACAGCATGCTATCTCCATCTTCATCATCTCTCCTCGTCAGTTCTTTCCTCTTCATCTGAATATATACACACACATACCCAAATATAGATTGCATCTGGATTCTTTCTGTATGTCAAATGTTGGTGGAGCATGTTCACAGTTGTTGGGATGAACTATATTTAGTTTCCTATATACAGTATAGTTCATGTTTATAAGCCCTCAGTTCTCCCTTAGGCTTTGCAAGTTCTTGTTTGTAGATGGTGGTTTTCTCCTTAGTTGTTCCTGTTTCCTGATTAAAAGTATATTTCCTTGCTATTCCTCTTCAATAGAGTTTCTTCTTGAAACCACATTACGTAACAATAATACAGATATTGTTGTTATGAAGTAATACACAAGATATTGTTGGCACAAATTAAGAATATTTTCCCACAACTTGTTACATTGTGTCCACGTTGTACTAATTTGTTCCATCATTTTAGATACATTTTTGGCCATTAATATATCTTGGGAACAACTTCTTAATTAGTTTTTTGTTGGTTTCAAGGGATATTTGTCTTCATGAATAAGAGATAAGAGGGATTGCTTATGGAATAATAACACTTTTTGGGATTTGTGTTTTTCAGATAAAGTCTTATAATTGAAAGAGACGCAGCTAAGATTATTCAACAAACTCTGCTCCTTTTTTATCATCATTACTTCGTCTCCTGCTTCTGCTCTTCACTTGGCTTTACTTAGTCAACTTCTTGGCTGATAGAAGACTGTTAATACAGTTTTAATACATAACACTGGTTTTGGTACCAGACAAGACTTGCTGTTAACAGGTTTTGGGTATTAGACAAATTTGTTGACTAGTTGTTTCCAGACTAAATTGATTTTTGAACTCTGATCTAATGCAATAACATTCATGCACTTTTAAGAGTGGCTTAAATGGCTAAATACTTTTTGGGGACGCATGTACAAACCCAACTAAAAAAGTTGGGACACTGTACAAATTGTGAGTACAAAAGGAATGGAATAATTTACAAATCTCGTAAACTTATATTTTATTCACAATAGAATATAGATAACATATCAAATGTTGAAAGTGAGACATTTCGAAATGTCATGCCAAATATTGGGTCATTTTGGATTTCATGAGAGGTACACATTCCAAAAAAGCAATAAGAGGCCGGAAAACATAAATGTACATATAAGGAACAGCTGGAGGACCAATTTGCAACTTATTAGGTCAATTGGCAACATGATTGGGTATAAAAAGAGCCTCTCAGAGTGGCAGTGTCTCTCAGAAGTCAAGATGGGCAGAGGATCACCAATTCCCCCAATGCTGCGGCGAAAAATAGTGGAGCAATATCAGAAAGGAGTTTCTCAGAGAAAAATTGCAAAGAGTTTGAAGTTATCATCATCTACAGTGCATAATATCATCCAAAGATTCAGAGAATCTGGAACAATCTCTGTGCGTAAGGGTCAAGGCCGGAAAACCATACTGGATGCCCGTGATCTTCGGGCCCTTAGACGGCACTGCATCACATACAGGAATGCTACTGTAATGGAAATCACAACATGGGCTCAGGAATACTTCCAGAAAGGTGAACACAATCCACCGGGCCATTCGGCGTTGCCGGCTAAAACTCTATAGGTCAAAAAAGAAGCCATATGTAAACATGATCCAGAAGCGCAGGCGTTTTCTCTGGGCCAAGGCTCATTTAAAATGGACTGTGGAAAACTGTTCTGTGGTCAGACGAATCAAAATTATTTTTGGAAAACAATGCATGAAATAGCATTAGACCTCCCCTTTAAAATAAATTAAAATATGAATAATTACTAAATAAAATAATAACAATTATAATTTCAAATTAAAATACAAGGTCATTTTTGATAAATCAGAGATTGTCCACTTTACCAATATATATGCTTTTGTTAATATTTAAAAATAAATTAAAATATGAATAATACAAATTTGCAAATTGTAAACAGAACTAGAATTATAATCATATTGTTTATATTAATATAGAATACTTTGAATGCAGTGAAAGTTGCTTTGCTAATAAAGTGTCTGCCAAGGGCATAAAAAGAAGAAAAAAAATGACCAGTGCATACACTGTACGAACTGTACGGACTTAGTGAAAATGAGCAGTTTGGGAGCAATTTAAGAGTAATGGTTGCAAAAGGAGCTATTTCTACCTCATCTGCCCTATAAAAATGACTGTTGCAGCAAGGTTGGATCATTAAAATGATGGCTTTAACTGAGTAAATAACATTATCATATATAATAATAAAACCATTTGAATTAGATTAAACACATTTTTAGGTTATACCTGACTAAAGATTTCTACAGTAGCTATAATACACATCCTGCAACCTGGATTCAAGGAAACTGAGTGTTCATGAATGAACCAAGACTATTATCAAGCCTCCCACCAAGGTAAAAACCAACTCAGCAGATATGTGCTTTACTGACTTCAGCAGTAAAACGTAGCTCTCCAGGCTACGGAGGCATCGGGTTTAACAGCTTCTGCATAGGTCGTGTAGAAAGTCCTGGCCCCCTGATCTCCATCTGATAATGAAGTCTGTGGAAAGAAATAAGTCAATCAAGACCAGAAATCATATATTCATCAAGGTACTAAGGAGCTTGTGTTTGAGTTAGACGCTTGGAAACACCTTTCTTTCTTTCTTTCTTTAATTTTTTTGTTGTTGTTGTTTTTTAACTATTATTTTCTAACATTTTAGTATATGTACACAATTATAAATGTCTTTATTTTTACGGGTACTTGTTACTTTATCAATTTAATGCATTCTTGGTTAATAAAAACAATTTGATTTATTTTGTCTGTTTTTTTTTATCTTACCCCAAACATCTACATCACGGTTTTCACAAAAAAATTAAGCAGCACAAAAAATCTTTTCAACATTGACAATAACAAGAAATGTTTCTTGAGCAGCAAATTTTTGATTAGTAGTGAAGTAAATAAAGTTACATCAAAAACAACAACAACAAAACAGAAGTGACTAGATAGATAGATAGATAGATAGATAGATAGATAGATAGATAGATAGATAGAAAGACCTGATCATATTTATCCTGAAGCTATTTTCCGTATTAATGTGTAAAAATAGCAATCAGCAAAAACAAAGGACTCTAGCATTAAAAAGCTTGTCAGGCTATTGAAATCACCTGGGCTAATGTAAAAGAGGTTGGATTAAGATGTTCCAGAGAGGCAGGCAGGAGGGAGAAATTTAAAGAGAGAGTAATCAGCAGGAGAACACAGTGTCTCTAGCTGAGACGTTACACTAGCTAGTTGCCTAAAATACACACATTCAAAACACACCTCGTTTCTCTGATTCACGGGATTTAGAGACTTATCATTTTAATCAGCGGTAGCCATTATCTCCTCTTTGCTCAGTAATTATGTTTGTATCAAAATTGTGTGGCAATCAGAGCATGTTGTCTAAACTGAAGTGCTCACAATGTTTTACTGCATCAAGATTTTAAGTAAATATCAAATTTCTTGCCTCACAGGACCAAGGTGCTGTATATGTAAACATACATGAACAAACATAAAACATAATGAAATATATAAACACATAACTTATATAAACATACATACAAACATACATATGCTTATATAACATACAGCCTATGAACATCTAACCTATATAAACATAGCTAACAGACTGACTATACATATACTTTATACACATAAATAGTTTCCATAATTTTATTTACAATTTATCATATATATTATTATTTTTAATTGTATAATTAATTGTATATAATATTTTATATTTCCTTTTAATTTATATATTACATTTTAGATCTTTATTTTATTTTATATTTCATTGAATATGTTTATTTTGTTTTGTTGTGTTGTGGTGTTTGTTTTGTTGTGTTTTGTTGTGGCGTGGCGTGGCGTGGCGTTGCGGCGTTGTGTTGTGGTGTTTGTTGTGTTGTGTTGTGTTGTGTTGTGTTGTGTTGTGTTGTGTTGTGTTGTGTTTGTGTTTGAGTTAGACGCTTGGAAACACCTTTCTTTCTTTCTTTCTTTAATTTTTTTGTTGTTGTTGTTTTTTAACTATTATTTTCTAACATTTTAGTATATGTACACAATTATAAATGTCTTTATTTTTACGGGTACTTGTTACTTTATCAATTTAATGCATTCTTGGTTAATAAAAACAATTTGATTTATTTTGTCTGTTTTTTTTTATCTTACCCCAAACATCTACATCACGGTTTTCACAAAAAAATTAAGCAGCACAAAAAATCTTTTCAACATTGACAATAACAAGAAATGTTTCTTGAGCAGCAAATTTTTGATTAGTAGTGAAGTAAATAAAGTTACATCAAAAACAACAACAACAAAACAGAAGTGACTAGATAGATAGATAGATAGATAGATAGATAGATAGATAGATAGATAGATAGATAGATAGATAGATAGATAGATAGATAGATAGATAGATAGATAGATAGATAAAAAGACCTGATCATATTTATCCTGAAGCTATTTTCCGTATTAATGTGTAAAAATAGCAATCAGCAAAAACAAAGGACTCTAGCGTTATTATTTTATATTTCATTTTAATTTATATATTACATTTTAGATCTTTATTTTATTTTACATTTAATTTAATTTATTTATTTTGTTTTCTTTTGTTTTATATTTCATTCTGTATTGTTATTTTGTTTATTTTTGTTGTGTGACAGCCCCTGGTTCCCATCAACTTTAATTATCTGGAGAGATATGATCTGAATTTTTGTGCTGTGGTGTGTGTGTTGTGTGTTGTTTTGTGTTTGTTATGTTTATGTTTGTGTTGTGTTGTGTTTGTTATGTTTATGTTGTGTTGTGGGGTTTATGTTATTTGTTATGTTATTATTTTATATTTCATTTTAATTTATATATTACATTTTATATCTTTATTTTATTTTATATTTCATTGAATGTATTTATTTTGTTTTCTTTTTTTTTGTTTTATATTTCATTCTGTATTGTTGTTTTGTTTATTTTTGTTGTGTGACAACCCCTGGTTCCCATCAACTTTCATTATCTGGAGCGCTATGATCTGAATTTTTTATTTTACGTTG